AAGTCTGTGCAAACAACAAAGAATGCCCCCCCCCCCCCCTTTTTTTTTGGAGAAAGGAGATTCTGCATCTATTTCATGCTTTGCATTTGCCCATAGCCCAAGCCATCGAAATGCGACTCTGAGGCTACTAAGAAGCTCAACTGGGAGAAAGAGCAGGAGCGAGGGAAAGTGCAGTTGTCAGCCTAACAGCATCTTTACACAAGCCGTATTTTACTCCCAGGCTAAATATGGAATTGGAATGATTACTTCATTAAACCTCAGTTTCTACAGACCAAGAATTAAAATAGATTTCATAAGTATGAAAACATCAGGGATAGCTCAGCGATTCAAAATTGTTGCATCTATCCAAGCAAAACAGTTTTCACAATAAGTGAAAAGAAATAGTGTTACTGAGGGGCTAACCCTGTGCACTGCTGGCCAGTTGCAGGGCTTTAGTACTGCCCACGTGAAAATCAGCATGACTCTAGTACTTTAGTAGCAAGTATTTTTAAGACCACATTAACTGTGTAAGCAATGACTCAGCAAAGTGAAAAAAACAAAACAAAACAAAAAACTAAATCAAACAAACCCCTCTCATAAAAAAGGCAGGGGGCACTTGATAGTCCTTCCATTAGCTATGGTAATCTGTAGTTACGTGATAGGGAATCAGCGTGAACTCGCGTTATTTCAGCCAGGTACAGTCTGAAGAACCATAGGCATTTGATTTAAAATATTTCTTCAGGATGCCAAGTCACTTTAAGCAAAAGAGGGTTTGCAGAGACAGAAACTTCTGTTGAGCCCTGTGCTACGCTAGGGAAGAGAGGCAGGTGTAACGCACAAACGGCCAGCGTTGTAAGACCTCATCAGCCCTCCAACAGCACTGCCACCTACTTTGAAGACACCTCTGTGCAATCAGCTCTCTTCAGTCTGTCTTTAGTACCAAGGAGGCTTATTACAAAGGCCGTTAAGATGAGTTTTCCGACACACAGCCTATTTAAAAAACAAACACAACAAAAGCGAAATCCAATGTGGCAGTTTGACACACACCTATATTCCTCTCACCGCTGTTTTAAGCTTTGATTACCAAGTTGTTTGTTTAACATGTGGCATAAAAAGCACAGAGTGAAAGAAATTCTATAAAGAATCCTGGGACTGCCTGAACTGCCACTCTTGGAAATTAAAACCAAGACAGCTTCAGTTGCAGTCGACTCCAGTTCTGTTTGTTTTCAGGGACTCAGCTGTGCTCTGCCCAGCCCCGTTTAACTCCGATGGACCTTCCCGAGGCAGGGAGAAAATCAGTGAGGAACCCTAGTAATGCCTCATGGTATGACCCAAACGGTAGGGCAGAGGTGTGAGAAGAGGCTGCTGCTTACGGCGAGCAATTGCTCCCCTATCCCAGGCTAAAAGTTTGAAAAATCAGCATTTACTGAATTCTGCCCAATACTTACAGATACACTTAACATTAGCCCATGACTACACGATACATGATACACAACCAGGTATCTCGTTTGGTCGGTTTCTATACTGAGGGTTGTTTATGAAAAGGGAAAAAGAAACCAGATCTAGAACTAGAGTCATTACAAACAGGCATTTAAAGCAGCTCTGGAAAAGCTTTCATGCTGTATAACTACTCCAACGAAAACATGTTCTCTCAAAAATTAAAAAAAAAGACCTGGTTTAGTATTTCTATCTTGGAGACTGTTTTAAAGACTACACCTTCTCTCATTTCTTCTTCCAGTGTTTATCAAAACTGTAAAGATTATTTATTTTTTTCTCAAGCTTCCCAAAAGGTAATATCGTTCTTGTATAAATCCACAATCATCTCCAGAAGTATTCAAACCTAAAATGAAGCCTCTTCTTTTATGGTAGTATGAGCTACAAATAAAGATGTTCCTCTAAAAATTGTTAAAAAAAATTGGCATAGGTACGTTAAAACAACAGATTTGCAGTCAATTTCTAATGAAACAAATATATCAAGCACAGATGTCTTAAGACACCAACATCCAATTTTCTCCTGGCCAAAAATATACAGAAGATAAATATTATCCCCGTCTGTTGGAGTGCACAACAAGTTCTGTGTACTTCGTCCTGTTTACCAAGACAATGTTTCTGAATTCACTTTAATGGTGTAAACACTGCCCTAAGCGACTGGAAGATTATGTTTCAGGAAGAACTACATCTGCAATATTGTGCAAGCAGTGGGCTCTATGACATTCCTATCCTCTGTTTCCTTCATGCAACGGATGCAAATTTTCAATGCAGAACTTGCCATTCCGTAAAGATGGATATGTGCAAGTCAGCAGTGAGGGAAATACAATAGCAGAACTGAAATGAGTTTATCGTAAGATATTGAAAGGTTAAATTTAGGTTTACACCACGTAACAACTTCAGTTAAAATGGTAGCAGTCATGACACCAGTTTACTTGCAGATATGTCATGAAGGCTCACTTAGAATGGTTTTCTGAACTTGATGAAAAGTGAAGGACCCTCAAAATTTGCTGGGAGCAAAGACGACAATGTGACTGGAAACCTGAAATTTGTACCTAATGTTGTCAACCCTATTTGCACTCTCTGATGGACTGAACTGAATCCGAGAATCAAAAATCTGGTCCGAAACCCAGCTCTGCATTTTGCACTCCGCGGCAAGCTCTTGTTACACCATGACATTAAGAACTCTGCGTGGAGGTAGTACCAGCTCTGGTACTGGAAGCGGTTTAACCACGGCCCTCTGGCACCCTGCTCTGCCTAGACTAGTCTCTCCACCTAGCTGGTTCCTGGCAAGGCTACAGCGTGCTTCCAGTGCTGCAGCTAGGGACAATTGCTGTGCTACCACCTTAAACTATTAAGCCTTACAGGCATTACAAGAAATAAGCCCTCCAGTTCTTACTGTGCTAGATTAGAGATGAGACGTACTGGTCAGAGCTCAGTATTAGATACTGCTGAGGCTTTTGTGATGATACCAAGAGGGTGTTGCTTTCCAATGCAGTGAAACCAGCAGCTTCAAATGACAAATATAAATGATATCTAAAAAATATACCTAATGTGTTAAAAGTGACATGCAATATAGATGGAGTATCTTTTCAACTTCCTTTTCAGGCTGAATTTTATGTCTGTTTATTAGGTTTCTTAAATTCCCATGTATAATTTCCCTTAAAAATATTATTTTTGGTCTATCCAGGTTTGTATTAGTAGAAGGCAAAAGAAGTTGTGGGTCTTTGAGAAGTAAACGTGGCCATTGTGCTAGATTAAAACATACAGGTTTTTTTCTCCTTTCCAACCTCACTGTCCTAGGAGGACTTTTAAATTAACACCCCTGGCCTTGTAACTTACAGATCCCGAAGCCGTTGTGCAAAAAGAAAAATGAGCATTGATTTTGCGCTCATCTGCCAAACAGCTGATGAGAAATTTGCAACTCAACAAGTGTAATGGTTTCCATTCAGGTCAGCAGGGTACTGTTTAAAGAGCAAGAATTCACTAGAATCCTGTTTTTCATGAAAGAGTAGGTCACGTTTTACAACTTTTAAGCAAAGAAATAAACTTTCATTGACTCTGTAATGAATTAATGGGAGGTTTATCTCCATGAGGCCTGCCCTGCTGCAGAACTGTCAACCAGGAACTTACAGAAGCTTTGTATATCCCTGTTGACGCACCTAAGTAAGCAGAGGAAATATAATGCAGAACTTAGGGAGCCTGTTTCTGAAAGAGCTGATCCTTGTGCACAAGAGCGCTGGGCTTAATGTTGCCCAATGTTTTCCAGTTTACAGGACTAGGTTTCCCAGTTCTCAGAGTCCAGCAAAACTGCTGACATAGCTGGCTGACACATTTCCAAGATCAGGTGGTGGAAAAAGAGGTCATAGCAGAAGCAATTACTACAAAGACAAGGCAGGGAAATGTTTCCATCTCATTTATCTGTTCCCTGGGTCTAGACATGAAACGCTGTTACCAATCAGAGAAGGTTTTTGTTTCCTCCTGTCCTCCTCTGTGGTTTACATACTGTTCAAACAATGATGTTACACGATTTACCTCATGCCACAATCTGGGGCCCCTATAGCTTCCTTACCTTCCCTTCCTAAGGCTTTCTGGAAGGCTTCTCCTAGCGTGAGGGATGAGTACAGTCACCACATGTTGAACATGTTTACTACCTTGGCCCATCAAGTAATGGACCCGCACTTGATCCAAATCTGTTCGGCTTCTTAACGTTGCAAGCCATCTCTGACGTAACCGAGTGTCAACTTGGAGACAGCTTGTTCTCGCCCGATCACGTTGGTCTCTCATCAAGAGATCTACTATATCTTTAGGTATGTACTTCTTAGACATATCAAAAGGATGGTAATTTTGTGGGCTGGGGGACTATAAGAAGCCAGGAATTAATTTAACCAGAAAACCAGTTCTATTAGTGCATTGTTTGTATAAGCACATCTTAGGCAGAACAACATTTCAATTTATTGTTTTAGTTAAAAAAGATTGCTTCTTAATGCCAATTTTGCTTTAAGGCTCTGAATTAAAAACAAATCACTCATTTTTTTCCTCTTCCTAATCCTCGCAGTTTCAAGATGCAAGTGGCTTGTAAGAGGCCATTCCAAGCCCAAGAACAGTTTGAGGAATAACATATAACAAAGTTTCTTGCAGACAACTTTTTTTTACTCCAGGCAGCTGCTGCAGAAATTAACTTTAAGTCTCAGTTCCATACAGAGGGCCACATTTTGAGCTGAAACTTAAAGACTTGGTCTCTTACAGACTTTGGGGATGGTTACATTTTACAACAGCATACCAAAAGAGAATCTGTTCACAAACAAATTTTGCAACAGAGAACTGAAAACAGAATTTAAAATACCCATTTAATATCAATGAAGATAAGATGCTCCAAAATAGCAATAGCAAAGAAATGGCTTTAGTGTCATAAATAGGTCTATATTGATACTCACACTTATGCAATCAACACTATCCAGGGAGAAATTTGGAAAAAAATTGAAATCTGTGCATTCACTTAAGATAAAAAGTATATTACGTATTATATATATTTTATAGGTATATACTATTACATTACATTGTATTATACATATTGTCTCTTCATGCTATTGGCAGAGAGACAGTGTGGTCTGACCACACGTTGTGGAAGCCAGGCTGAAAGTTGTCTTGGTTCAGTAAAACAATTTTGTGCGGCTCATAAAAAAAAATCACGTGTTAACATAAATTTGTACCTGAATGTTGGGATTCTGCCCATTGATATCTGCTTTTGATAGGTCGGGGAAGTTTGGGAGATCCAGGAGGAAAGATCTGGGTCCATCTCTTTGCAAGGATGTATGCCCGTTCTCCTGCCTGAATCGCTGCTTAGGGAACGGCCGGTGGGCAGCCTGGAGGTCAGGGTACTCTCTTCTGTCCTCGGGATTCAGGGTGAAGCTGTCTTCAGGAGAATGGTCATCTGCAGTGAGCGTGTTCTGGGGAAAAAAGCAACGCGCTATAACAACAACTGAGAGAGCGTGTGGTCCTGCCAGTGCCCCCATCGCCAGCTTCCCGCCCATGATGGCTGCAGCGTGGGTACAGAAAGCCTTACAGCACACAGACCCACGGCTCGTCACTGGAACACCCAGCATTTATGAGTGGTACTTTCTAGGGTGCTCATGAGTTCGGAATCCGACTCTCACTGAGATGGACTTAGTTACGGTGGTGCAAATCTGTAACCATCTGACACAAGGTAAAACCGAGTCAGACTGGGGTGCTCAGCTCTTCCAGGTTCCTGGAACATTCCAGCCCTGCGGTGAGCACCTACACATTGACACAAGCATCTAACTTAAAGCAAACCTGGAAACGTGAAGTTCTGAAGCAACCCCTGGGAAATCAAGTTATACCACACTAAAGGTGTCCCTAAAATGGTGAAAGGTCTCTGTATTATAAGTTGGTTTAGTTCGCTTTGTTCCAAAGTGGAGCAACCCCCCCGACTGCTAAGTGCATGTTGAAATCTCTGGTATTCAAAGATCCTACTGCTGAACTGGCAACCTCCCCGTCTCTCTCCTCAGTCTGCAACAACTTCCACCTCGTTGTCTGTGTTCCTCACCCAGTTTCTCTGGTCTCGAACATCTGAATCTTCCTTCCTCTGGGATCTCATTTTCATATTTGCTTAATGGTGGGATTGAATTTCACCAAGTTGCGGGTCAGCGGTTAACGCTTTTGTTATTGTTGAGCGTACTTTGGGGTTGTGTAGTACATTACAGCAGGCTGCCTTCGAACCAGTAGCGCCGCTGCCACTGCCTTTGACCTCACCAAGGAGATAGACTCGTTTAGTATCAAAACACTCACTCCCTGGGTTAGGACTGGCCTGAGGACTCGGGCAAAAAACCCAGCAGAGAAGTCCAGTCTGTTTATGGCCACAAAAAAATGCACCAGGCAGATTCAGCACAGGTTTTGCTTTTGACTCAGCTGAAAAATTTTAGGCCTGAGGTCTTAGTACGACTGCCTGGGGAGATTTATTTTCAGTTCATAAAGAGACAGCAAGCGTGGAGAGGGTAAATGTTAAAGACCTATCTCTTAAAACAAGCACAATTAAAGTGGAATGGCCACATGTGGTCCTGGCTCTACCGAAGCATATTTTTGCCAGCATTTCTGGTTAAACGCAATCTCCATCCAGCTCCCCTGGCTCAAATTAAGCTAGCATACCTTTTGTTAAGCGCTCAGAGAGATAACAGTTCCAATGCCTTTTCTTTTATTTCGTGTTTATTTGCTTAGAAGGTTCTAAATTGACCTTTGAAGAGATTTTACAATATAATCTGTGCACATTGCAGGAAAGTATTCAGTGAGTTAAATAAACCAAGATTTAAGGTGGTTCTCCTCTCCCCTTCTTGCCGCACTGCGTTTGTAAAGAGCAAAACCAGATTTAGCAGAATTAATGTTGTCTTGGTATTGTCACGATCAGAAAGGTTACACTTTGAAAGTGCTAAAAGGGTACTTCTATACATCTACCTACAGTACAGATGGAAACAGTTCGTTCTGAATTAGCGTACGTGTGCAGTGCTAAAAACGTCCGTGGTTCTGACAGTCCCTATTGCTTGAAAGCTAAACCAAGAATGCTTCTCTTTTTGTTGAAGACCGGGCAGGTTGTTCAGCTGCTTTTGGTGGGCCACCCATTGACACCCCCCCCCCCCCCATCATTCAATATAAAGTAGAAAGCAAATCACACAGCAGCAACCTCTGGGAAACAAAATCAAGGACCACTTTTAGCTAAACTTAGGTTCCTTACCCATATGCTAGTGCTTTAACTTAACACTTATCAAACAGAATTTAACTGCAAACTTCTTGGCGCACGAGGATTAAATGGCTTCTCAGTTATGTCTGACTAACAACAAGGTGTAATTGTGCTGTTATTAAATTATTTCAGACAGGAACCAAAAAATTGTGGAACTTACTTAACTACTTTTTTCTGGGGTATCATGCCCCTAATCTCACTTTTATTAAAAATTAAGTGAGATTTTATTAAAAAATAATAAAATTCTCACATACCATTTCCTACTTTCCCTCTCTGCTTGCCACTTCAGGAGCATCCTGATTCTCCACATTAACATACCATACAGCTAGAGCTGGCCAAGGACTTTAGAGCTCTACACGCAGTTATCTGATAAGACTCGCTGTGTGATCTTGGCAGCTCATAGTCTGCCTGTGCCTCGGTGGGGATAACAGCACTTCCCTTCCTCACTGTGATGTTTGCGGGGAGCTCAGCAACCACAAAAATAAGGGCTATATAAAAAGTTTTTAATAGTGTCAGACAGATGGAATATCAGATGGAGTTAGTTAGAAAATTGTCATGGTGAAGTAATGACATCAGGCTGATCAGGCCCACTACCAAGCTGCTTGGGGCAGGGACTGTCATTAATTACAGAGCGAATGAGTTGGGGTTGTTTAACGTTAAAAGGAAAAACAGAGTGGGGGACATGATAACTGCCCTGTACCAAAGGCTGCTGCAGCAACGAGAGGGCTGGACCACTCTGCTTGCTCAGGATGGGCACGATCAGAAGACCCCGGTTCAACATTAGGTACACATTTCCAACGACAGCAAAGGCTTTGAGGCAGGGGGAACGGAATATGGTGTTTGTCTTTAAGAGCAGGATTGACTAAAGCCGGGCAGGAACAATGCAGATTAAATAGTGTGTCCTCTGCCTAAAAGCGGTGGTGTCTCTTGCAGTCCCTTTCACGCCAGGACAAGCCCACGCTCTGCCTCCCTGGGGCTTCTGTGTCATCCTGCAACATAAGCAAACAGAAACTACCTATTTTTTAGGTAGATAATTCTTCGTGCAGTGCCTAAGCTGACTTGCGGTATTATTAGAAATATGTATTTCTGGTAAAACGATAAAAGAGGCTGCCATCAACAAAAAGTAAGCTTGAACTGTGTGTGAAGAGAAGAATATGGGCGCGCTCTGTTCTACCGCATTAACTCAGGCAAAGGTTCTTCCACGGCCAATCTAGCAGGAAAAAGTGGGTCCTTACTGCGACGCCAGCATCCTTTCTGAAGAAAACAGGGTTTGTGTTCCAAAGCTACTAGATGAAACTTAATTTCTTTCTTTGCAGGGGGAGGGCATATTCTTCTCTTCTTATTTCTACATTATTTCACATTTATACTTCACACTCTTTAATCTTAGGTGTACACAATTTGTATACCTGATTGCTTTTGGGAAAGCAGCGTTGCCTGCCTTTAAAAGCTATGTCACTTCATTCTGAACTGCTGACTCGGTTTCTTTGAAGTTATGACATTTCTAACTCAGGCACATTGGTTTCTTACCCAAATGATGCATCTGCTCTAAATATTTAAAGTAAATTGCTTTTTTCCGTCATTAAATTGGATTATTCACAACTTTTAAACTCTGCATTAAGATGATTGTAAGAGGTTACTCATGCTTGCTGTCAGCTACAGTTCTGCAGCCCCATGGGATCAGATATTTACAGAAGTTCCTAATACAAGACCAGCTTAGGATTTCCGAGTGTTCTAAGCACGGACAGTATGTAGGGGCAGGAATACATTATTCATAGCTGTGTGACAAGGCAACGAAATAAATCCGAGAGAGAGGGAATCTGCCATAGTTTGTGTTACGGCATAGCACACCTTGCCACACCCATCACTGAAAAAGGGAGGGCAATAGTCCAGTACGTATCAATGTCTTTGGGCCCAGCTATACACCAGGGAAGGCGAGCAATTCACAGGGATCTTGTGAGGATAACTTTAAATGCTGATGATCCAGGCGGGACTGGCACCAGGGCAGGGTTTAGGGCACCAAGAGACAACCCTGCATGCAGGAAAAATTTCCTATCTGATACTGCAGTTTAACTTTTCAATAATCAAATCGGTATTTTAACTCCCTCCATCGCCTTCCAATTTTGTTTCTCCCTCTGTCACATTAGACATTAGCTGCAGGCAAGTGTACTGTTTCTCTTCCCCACAGAGAAGTTAAAAAGAAATGGGAACTTGTAAAAATACCAAACTGGGGGAAAAAGGGAATTTCTCTGCATTTTCAGCACGTGAAGAATCCATCTCCCTCCTCTCTTCCTTATCTTAATCCCGCTTCAGTTCCGGCAGAACAACCGAGATAGAGAACAAGTGAGGAATGATTGGAGCTACAGAAAATACTCTGGAGCAGTCGTTCCTTCTCTGTCCTTCATATTTCTTACTTTTCTTCATTCCTTCCCACTTGCCAAACTAAAGGCACATTTGCGAGCACTGCTAATTAGGGAGTCGAAAGAATTTGGGAAAACTGATGCAACTTATATCCCTAACAGCTCCCAGACAGCAAGGGAATCTATTACTAAATCCCTGCTGCAGCTACATTGCTTTTTTATTTCTTGTATACTCCTTTGAAATATCTTGTAAAATGATCTTGACAAGAGGTCTTGAATTGAAAACCGACAGTCTGTCAATGCACTTTCATGATGCACCTGTACAGCATCTTCAACCACCAGGAACAAGGACCGTTTCTTTATTAGGAAACTTCACAGACGCCATAAAAGGTTATATTGCTATCAGAGACAAAATGAGGCCTGGGGCCTTCGCAGAAAACCATTATAGCCATTAGGACTGGTTTCATTTCCCACCTGCCTAAACAGATTGTTTTGATTTTGAAGGCTGTCGTGTGTTTCCAGGTTAGTGCTAAATGATCACTTTAAAATTAACCAGTCTGGGAAGGCTGAGTAACACACCGGGATACAACATCAGACTTTCACCTCTGCAGATCCAAGATCTGTAATGAACCTGGGTGATCTAATTCCTGGGGTTTATTTCTTTTTTTGCCTACCATGAGCATAAGCAGCACAGGTCCTAGCAGGAAGAGGTACGAGGACAGTGCTAGATAAGCAGACAGTGAGGTTAACAGCTGAAAAGCATTATCAGAGATAGATGGAGAAAAATTTCTTTTATGATTAATGCCATGTACAGTCCAGGCAGTCAAAAGACCTTTGTTCTGCTCCTAGCTCTGTCTTGGCTTTCTCATTTAACAGGCAAATCACTTGGGTTCATATTCAATTTCTGTGTGACTAGCTGAAAGCCCCACA